TATGCTTCAGGCGTGGCCCCTCATTGCCACGCAAAACTGCGCATGCCAGTTCCCAACCATCCTGTGATGTTGGGTCCTCGTTTTGAGGAGCCAGCGCTCCGCGTCACTCCTCCTCCTCGCCCCTCCTCCCCACCCGCTGCCCTTTTCCTCTCCCCGCATCACCAGCATCGCCATCGCCGTCATCATCATCATCATCATCAGCATCATCATCATCATCATCATCATCACCATCAACCACATTGACATCATCATCATGGCCATTAGCATCGCCACTGCCAGCATGGCCACCGCCAGCATCTGCAACCTCATTAGCATCAGCATCACCACCATCATCATCATCATCACCACCATCATCATCATCATCATCATCATCATCATCATCATCATCATCATCATCATCATCATCATCTTCAGCATCATCATCATCAACATCAGCATCATATTCATCACCATCATCATCATCATCATCAGCATCAGCATCAGCATCAGCATCATCGGCATCCTCATCATCCGCATCACCACCAGCAGTATCATCATCAACATCTTCATTCGCATCATCAGCATCAGCCTCATCACCAGCAGCATCAACATCAGCATCAGCAGCATCATCATCAGCATCATCATCAACAACCTCATCATCACCATCCTCCTCCTCCTCCTCCTCCTCCTCCTCCTCCTCCTCGTCGTCGTCGTCACCACCTCTGTTTCGGCACACCTCTCACGCGTTTCGTGGCCCTATGGGGAGCTCCGCCTAAGGTCACATTGGCGCAGCCCGCATGTGGGCGCCATCCCCGTTTCAGCACACTCCTCACAGGCTGTGTGGCCCCACAGGGAGCTTCGCCTAAGGTCCCATTGGCGCGGCCCGCATGTGGGCGTCATCACCGTTTCGGCACACCCCTCACACGTTTCGTGGCACCGCAGGAAGCTCCGCCTAAAGTCCTGTGAGCGCATCCCGCATGTGCACGCCATCCCCGTTTCGGCACACCCCTCACGCGTTCCGTGGCCCTATTGGGGAGCTCCGCCTCAGACCCCATTGGCGCAGCCCGCATGTGAGCGACAGCCTGTTTCGGCACACCCCTCACGCGTTCCGTGGCCCTATGGGGAGCTCCGCCTCAGACCCCATTGGCGCAGCCCGCATGTGAGCGACAGCCTGTTTCGGCACACGCCTCATGCGTTCCGTGGCCCTATGGGGAGCTCCGCCTCGGACCCCATTGGCGCAGCCCGCATGTGAGCGACAGCCTGTTTTGGCACACACCTCACGCGCTGTGTGGCCCCACAGGGAGCTCCGCCTAAGGTCCCACTGGTGCAGCCCGCATGTGGTGCCTCCGCCCCCGGTCCGGCACACCCCGCACACGCCTCGTGGCTCCGCAGGGAGCTCACCGCAGGCCCCTGCGACACGGCCCGCGTGAGGGCGTTGCCCCATAGGGAGTTCTACTTCGGACGGTGCTCACGCTTGCGGTACTCTCACCGCCAACCAAAGCACCCCAACCCAACCCGAAGCCGTCAATTTGCCCTCCATTTCCAGTGGGGGGGGGGTCGGGGAACGTTGAAAAACACATGGAGCCCGTACCCCCCCCCAACCCGAAATTCGGGTCGAATTCGGGTCTTCGGGTTGGGTTGGGGTGGTCTGGTAGGTAGTCACATAGGGAGTTCTACTTCAGACGGTGCTCACGCTTGCGGTACTCACAACTGCGTATGGTTGGGTTCTCCGCCAGGCTATAATTTGGTCTTTGCAGGTCTGGTAAGCAGCGAATCATTGTGCATGCCAGGTTGTTTTTTGTGTGTTAGGTTTCGGAGACCCGGAGTCTCAGAGAGAGAGAGAGAGAGACGGAGAGAGAGAGAGAGACAGACAGACAGATAGACAGACCGACAGAGAGAGGTGTCGAGGGGAGGCCGCGGCGAGCCCTGGAGCCATACGAAGCGAAACAAACATAACAATCTAGCATACACATGGTTTCGCTGCTTCCCATACTAAAGGAACAACCAGACTTAGCATACACAGCGTTTCGTGGCCCTCATCCTCCTCACCTTCCTCATCCTCATCCCTTTGACTGGTGCAGTTTCCCCATTCTCCTCATCCTCATGATCCTCCTCCTCCTCGTCCTCATCCTCCTAAACATCCTCCTCTCCTCATCTTCCTCATGTTCTTCATCCCCCTCATCCTCCAGCGCTTGGGGAGGGGACCGAGCACATGTGTCTATTAGCGTTCCTCCTCCTCCGCCTCCCCCTTCCACGTCTTCCTCGCTCTCCACGTCTTACGGTGTGTTTCAAAGTCGGCTTCAGACGGTTTGCCGTGATCTGCCTTCTTCTCACAGCATTTCCCCTGATGAGGAGATGGGGGCATTTGTTTCAGGCGCGAGCCCTCGGTGACACAACACGTTTGCGTTTGCCTGGGTTTTGTTGCGTTTGTGCATGCCCGGGAAGCCACGCAACATTGTGTATGTTGTGTGTGTGTTGTTTTCTTAGGCTTCGGAGGCTGAGAGAGAGAGAGAGAGAGAGAGAGAGGAGAGACAGAGAGGTGCTGGGGGGAGGCCGCGGCCAGCACTGGAGCCTTCGAAACCAAGACATCAAGCAATACCTAGCATGCACTGTGCTCGGCCGCTCACCAGACCAGAGAAACAAACAAACCTAGCATACACAGCAATTTGCAGCCCCGACCGAAGCCGAAATGCTCGCGCGCACCGTGCGAACAAAAACACGCCTAGCATACAAAGCGTTTCGCTTGCCAGACCCAAGGAACCAGAACAGCCCAGCATGCGCAGCGTTTCGTGGCACCGACCAAAATCGAAAGGCTTGCGCGCACGGTGCCCGTAAAGGATGGGCCGAGCGGATGAATTCGTCAGTTTGGGTCGCAGGCAATTTATGTGTGAGCGGTGAGAAAAAGCGAAGCGAGTCAGTGAAGCGAGCGTGCGGCTTCAATAAGCGATTATGCGGATTCGTGCTATACCTGAATATATATATATATGTATATACACATACATACATGCATACATATGTACATGCACATCGCGTCATCATCATTTCGAACATGGGAAAAGTAGAGGGGTAACCCTGCCAGAGCCCCTGTGCCAATGGTTAGATAATCACCGCGTGCGTTAGCATCCGCACTTCGAAGGTCGATTGTCCTGGTGACACCTTCGGCCATGCAGAGAGCATCGGATACGAACGATGCTTCTGGTTTCCCTCGGCCTCCAATTTGCAGGGTAGGGCCAACGAGCCTCGATCATCGTGAATTCGCACTGGCTTCATGGGGCGAGTACACCGCCGAGGCCTGGAGGCGTCCGCTGGATCTGTGTTCCCCAGCTTCCAGAACACGGGCTGGTTTGCGACCCCTCCCGTTCTCTTTCCGTCCTCCCCCTCCTCCTCCTCCTCCTCCTGCTCCTCCTCCTCCTCCTCCTCCTCCTCCTCCTCCTCCTCCTCCTCCTCCTCCTCCTCCCCCGAGGTGCAGGGTCCCGGGCAGGTGCCCCAGCCACCAGCGGGACGGCGGGGGAGGCGTCGGCGCCCCCGCCTCGGCCCAGGCGGGGAGAGGCGGAGGAGTCGCCGCGGAGGGAGAGGTCTGGGGGAGATGTTTTGGGGGGGGCCTCCCTCCTTCCTCCTCCCTCCTCCCTCCTCCCTCCTCGGGCGGAGAGGCTCCGGCGGAGCTTGTCTTCTTATCCCACGGCGACAACGGGCCTGACCGAGGGGGGGCGGCAGGGTGACGGGCCTGTCTTCCACTACCGTGACCAGAAGTCGGAGGGGGGAAGTAGGTGGGGGAGGAGGAGGTGGAGGAGGAGGAGGAGGAGGAGGAGGACCCCTCCCCCGCCTCCTTGCGGTGGTGGTGGTGGTGGAAAGCAAGCCCATCAGAGGGGGCTGGTCCCGTCGCGATTCGCGCCGGCACCGTCTAGGAATGCCCCAGAATGACCCATTCCCAGACGGCGCCGGCGCGAATCTTGGCCTGACGGGGGTAGGGGAGGCGTTGCTGCTCACGGGTGTTATCGCGAGCGCGCCCCGCCCAGGGCCGTGCAGATTTGCCATCGGAGTCGCCGATCTATCCGTGATGTATCGTCGATTCCAGGTCGTAGGGGGGGGGAGTTGGGGGAAGCGGGTCCTGGACGCCAGGATTTTCCTCCTCCTCCTCCTCCTCCTCCTCCTCCTCCTCCTCCTCCTCCTCCTCCTCCTCCTCCTCCTCCCCCTCCCCCTCCCCCTCCCCCTCCCCCTCCCCCCTAAGCTGATTTTGGCGGTCGCGGGGCCCGTGGAGGGCCAGAGGGGCCCCCAAAAACGGCGAAGGCACTTCAGCCGACCCTGCGTAAGAGGGACCCTTCGCGCGAGCGGTTGCTGGTGCGGGCTTTCGGATGCAACTCCTGGGAGGTCAAATTCTGATTTTGCCCTGGTCCGAAATCCGGCTTAATCCCGCTTAATCCCGCTTAATCTGGCTTAATCCCGCTTAATCCGGTTTAATCCCGCTTACTCCGAGGCCCACTCTGGCGTAATAGCCCCCAAATGGGGCTTGATCCTCCTTAATCTTTCCGACGAAAACCTCCCAGCAGTTGCCTCCTAACGGGCTCATGCGGGTCCCCCGAGCGCTGAACGTGCTGCGATGGCAGCGGCTTGCCCGCCTGTGTTTGGCCCTTCTGGCCCGAACGCCGCGCACCAGAGGTCACCATAAGGGAGGAGGAGGAGGAGGAGGAGGAGGAGGAGGAGGAGGAGGAGGAGGAGGAGGAGGAGGAGGAGGAGGAGGAGGAGGAGGAGAGGAGGAGGGGAGGAGGAGGGGAGGAGGGGGGGGAGGAGGAGGAGGAGGGGGAGGAGGACCTCCCCATCCCCCCTTCTCCCCCGTCCTACCCGTGGTAGCGGTAGTGGAAAGTTGGGTCGTCAATCGCTGGACCGTCTGGCCTGAGAACACTCTGGCGCGTAACTGGTTCAGGATTGTTGTTCTCCAGGGCAGGAGTTCCCCGTGCTGCCAGGAGGAGGAGGAACGGTGTGAAGGTCAGGATGTTCGGGCCTGCCTCCTCGGCCGCCGCGAGGAATTCGAGGAGAACCAGGTGCTTCGCAGGGAGGAGCGCTCAGCCTGCGTCTTTCCTGTTGTGCAGTTGCGCCGGTCATCCAGGCACCTCCCCTCTTCGTTCTGGCTCGGCCCTGTCGTTTCAGCGGCTTCCAGAGAGCCTCTACACGTGCGTGGGAAGTGTTCCTTGCGAGTCTGCTGCTGAAGAGCAATACATGATGCCTGTCTCCGCTGAGAGGGGTGCTTGTGCCAGGGCCGCGTTTTTGCCGCAAAGGCCACCATGTGTGCCATGTGGCGCCATGGCGAGACGTGAGAAGTTTGCTTCCGCAGGCGATGTCTTCTCCCAAATCTTCCAGGCCCTGAAAACGGCAGCGCTGCTTTTTACCGCGTTCACAAAAAGTGCTTCGTGATGATAAAAAGCGGGAAACAACTGGGGCCACCGAAAGGTCAACAAATGCGGTTCACCGAGCTGGCTTTGGCATTCTGTGGATACGAAACACGTTCGGGACCGGCTCCGAAAGGGTTCGGATGTGGCGAAGAGTTGTGATTGGACCAGGCCCCCCACTAAGGGAAACGGAAACGGTGAGACAACGGCGCCGGAAAGGGTCACCAATTGAATAAACATTGCGCCATAATTCTCGGTTCTAGAAGTGACAACCTATGTTGACCAGCGTGGACCCCAAACAGTGTTTTTCTAGCAACGTCGGTTGTACAAGTTTTGCGCAGCAGTCTCTGTGGTGCAACATATGTGTTGCAATCTGGGTTGTGCCAATCTAGCTTGTGTAATGTGTGGATTCATCTATGTTGTGTAGTACATGTGAAGTCAATGTGTTGCACTCTACAGTGTGCGATCTATGCGGAATACAGGTTGTACAACCGATGTGGGCCAATCTACGGTGTGCACTATAGGTGGTGCAATCTGCGTTGTGCAATATATGTTGTGCAAGCGATGTGGGACATTCAGTGTGGTGTCATCTCTGTAGTGAAAAAAGATGTGGTGCAATTGACGTGCTCCAGTCTATGTGGTGCAATATCTATTGTGCAGCGGGGCGGCGGCGACGGGACGGGGCGGCGACGGCGACAACATAGCCGCCAGACCGCCAGCCTGGCCCAGACCACGGGCGGCGACGAGGCGGCGACGGGGCGGCGACGGGGCGGCGACGGCGACAACAGAACGGCATGCCCCATGTAATGGAGCCCCCCAACGTCACCGTTTTGCCATGATTACCCAGGGCGCGAGCATGCTTTCTCTTCGGTGGGGGGCGGCGACGCCGAACTTCATTCTCATCGCGGCATGTACCAATCGTACATCCATGCATGTTTGGATATAGTCTTCTTACCACGAAAAGCTGAAGCATCATTTTCATCAGATTCATCGTCGACTTGCCGGGCAAATATTTCATGATCCTCCATGAACCTAGAATGTTATTATCCCTTTGGGGGGGAATATCGGGGGCACGCCGTTAGCCGCCAGACGGCTACACAAGCCCAGACGACGGGCGGCGTCGAGGCGGCGACGGGGCGCGACGGCGACAACATAACCGCCATACCGCCACAAAGGCCCAGATGACGGGCGACGACGAGGCGGCGACGGGGCGGCGACGGCGACCACACAGCTGTCAGACCGCCACACCGGTCCAGTTCCTTAGAGCAGAGGTAAACTCCCCTAGGCCTGCAGCAATCCCAGACCCCCGACGTCAGGATTTGTCCATAACGTCGACCCCCGATGGTCTCGACACATTCCCCGGGACCGGTTTTTTACCCCGAGTCGTTTTCTGACGGCCCCGAAGCCCAGCAAGGGCCCCCAGAGGCCGAAAACACCTGCAACTTTGCCGTCGCGAGTCTCCTTGACTCGAGGAGGTCCGGAGTGCCCGAGGCGGCGGGCTCCTGCTCAGGCTGCTCCCGGCCCCCCCCCCGAGGAGCTCCAGGCGATCGCGAAGGCGCGCGAGATCCTGGCGAGCCCGGAGGCGCGCCGAGGGGGGTGCCGGGGGGCGTGCGCTCCCGGCGGGAGGCACCTCACCGGGCCGCCGCGCGGCCCCGGGAGGCACAAGACCCGGCTGGGGGCGAGAGGAGCGGGACCCCGAGGAGCGGTCCAGTCTTCCGCGGGCCCATGTGGAGGGAGCAGCACGGCGTCGGCGGTCCAGTGAGGGGGAGGAGAGGAGGAGGAGGAGGAGGAGGAGGAGAAGGAGGGCCATGTGGAGGAGAGGGGGAGAGGGAAGGGGAGAGGGCGCATGAGGGAGGGGAGCACGTACAAGATGAGGAGGGAGGATAACGAGAGGAAGGTAGGAATGGGTGAGGGAATCCTGGGTGGGGAACGGAGGAGAGGGAGGGACAGGTAGGAGAGAGCAGGAGGAGGAGAAAGAACGGAATGAGGATGGATGATGAGAAGGAGCGATGAGGGAGGAGAGAAGGGAGTGGGGGATTGAGGGAGGGAGGAGGGAGGGACGAAGGAAGGAAGGGAGGAAGTGAGCAGGAGGAGGAGGAGGGGTGGAGGATGAGGAAGAGAGAAGGAAGAGCATGATGGATAAGGATTGTTGTTTCGTCTCAGGCGATAGCCGAATTCTGCATTCTGCATTGAACGTGCGAGGCACTGAGGCGATATCTCCAGTTTGAAAACTGCTGGTCCTCCATCCGTGCAGCTGCTGATGCTTGCATACGAACGTGTGCGCGCTATAGGCCGAGAGCAACACTTCGAAAGCGATCGGCCTCAATCCGTGCAGCTCATAGAAACCTCAGCTTCGGCGCAATAAACTGGAAGGAAGGCCTGCCGAGACGCCCTGCTAAGTCTACGGACAAGTATGGTGCTGCGAGGGGGGGAAAGTGTGTGTGTGTGTATACATACATGTTTATGTGTATATATGCGTGTATATATATATATATATACTTGGCTCGTTCACTCGGCCGGCCCATTTCGCATCACGGTGGCTGCATGGTGATATGCGCGTACCCATGGGGAACGGTAGGGCAGGCAGGATTATCCTCGAGGAGATCTTTTAGAGATGTAGCTCGCAACCTGTCGAAGAGAGCCGACTGAGGGCGCCAAGATGGCGCAAGAGAGCCCCAGCAGAGTTTCGAGACGTACCTGTGTTGTGGGTCAGAGTCCTCACGGCTGTGTCTGGGGGTCTCGTCGGAGGACTCGGGAGCCTTGGGGAGCAGTTTTGTATCCTGTGGGGAGCCTCTTGGACGCTTCTTTGGGGCCTCTTGGGGCGGGGCCTGTTTTAATGCTTATGTTATTGAATCGCTTCGCCTACTGAGGAGGCCCATTTCGCATCACTATGTCTGCGTGGTGGTGGGCTCGTGCCCAGGGGGCAGACAGGACTGTCCTCGAGGAGATCGTTGGAGATGTGGCTCGCACCCTGTCGAAGAGAGCCGATCGACTGCCCCAGAGGGCGCCAAACTGGCTCAAGAGAGCCCTGGCAGAGCTTCGAGACGTACCTGTGTTGTGGGTCAAAAAAGTCCTCATGAATGTTTCTTGGGGTCTCTTCGAAGGGCTCTCGGGAGCCTCTGGGGAGCAGTGTTGAGGCCGATGGGGAGCCTCTTGGTGGCTTCATGGGGGCCTCTTGCGGCTTCCTGGGAGCTTGTTGGGAGTCGTGGGGGCATCTTTTGAGGCCTCTTGGGGCCTGTTGGGTGGCTCCTGGGGGCCTCTGGGGGCTTCCTGGGCGCCTCTTCGGGCCGAGACAGCGAAATGTCTGTTCGGGTTCACCCTCTGGACCCCCTCTTTGGGACATCCTGCGGCCGCCTTTTAGGCATCTTTGCCCGTCTTGGGACCATCTTGGGCTAGGCCAGTTGGGGGCCCTCTTGTCGGCTTTTTGTACCGTCTTGGAGCGATCGTGGGGCCTCTTGGGCCGTCCAGGGCGGTCGGCAGCTCAAAAAGGCGGTATCGCCCAAATCGTCCGAAAACCCAAGCAGAATCATTGATTTGCACGTCTTCGGGACCTCTCGAAGTTCTCTTGAAACCCTCCTGGAGCTTCGTGGGTGCTCCTTGGGCCTTCTTGGGACCGACGTGGGCAATCTTGGAAAGTTCTTGGCCTCAGGCTGGGGCGTGCCACCCTTTCCGAAACCCGGCCCAGTCTACGGACACGTCTGGTGGTGCGACAAGGAGGAGTTGTTTGTAAGGAGGAGGGTTTGAGGAGGAGGAGGAGGAGTCTGAGGAGGAGGAGGAGGAGGAGGAGGAGGAGGAGGGGGAGTGGATTGATAAGGGAGGGTTGAAGGGCAGCAGACGGGTGTGGAGCTTCCGCTCGGCTCGTGGGTGCGGTCAGCGCGCGGGCTCCCAGGGCCCGCTCTCGAGGGCGGCGGCGGCACGGCGAAGGAGCCTCTTCTTCCTCCTCGAAACGTGAGTCACTTTTCGGGTGTTGCTAGAAGTGCGCCTGGCCTGGTGGAGGACGTTCAACGGAGATGAAGCATGTTGCCAAATCAGTTCCAGATGTCTAAAACTTGTGTTAAACATGCTTCGAACATGCAAAGACATGTTTAACTCATGTTTAGAACATGTTTCCGACATTTGAAGCACACTTTGAATTCAATGATAGGACTGCGGGGGTGTCCGTTGTCGTGGCATCCACAACCCTGGCCCAAGGTGCCCCCAGCTTGTCGCACGAATCTGGAGCCCCTGCAGGCCTGGTCTCGTGAGGGGTGCCCCGGGAGGCCGCCCGGGCCACCCCGAGAATCCTGGGGGGTACCTCGGGCCAGGGGTGCTTCTAAAGGAGGAGGAGGAGGAGGAGGAGGAGGAGGAGGAGGAGGAGGAGGAGGCAGAGGAGGAGGAGGAGGAGGGTTTGAGGAGGAGGAGGAGGAGGAGGAGGAGGAGGAGGTACATCGACAAAATGTTGCACCACTTTTGCTGTGCATTGGCACCTGTACTGCATCGCTCTTTGCTCTTGCCCTCCCCTTTTTCCCGATCTTAATATTGGGTGCATGGCGAAGACCCCCTGTTCCGCCCGGGGGCTCCCGACAAAATGTTGCACCACCGAGCTGTGTCGGCCAGCCCCAGACCGAACCCAATATCAAGATCGGGGGGGATGGGGGGGGGGGGAAACAAACGATTGATAGAACAGCGATGCGATTTGTTGTCAGCGCCAGGCGGTGCAAGATTTTGTCGATGTGCCGTAGCAACACCCGAACTTTGAGTGCAGGCGGGGCTCTGGCTTCCGCGCCGCCCCCGCGACGCGCACTTCAGGGTACCTCGGGCCAGGGGTGCTTCTAAAGGAGGAGGAGGAGGAGGAGGAGGAGGAGGAGGAGGAGGAGGCAGAGGAGGAGGAGGAGGCAGAGGAGGAGGAGGAGGAGGGTTTGAGGAGGAGGAGCCTGCGCGTGGCCGAGGCCGGCCGTGGCCGAGGGCAGTGCCTGCGTCCCCTGCGTGGCGCTCCTCGTGGCAGGCACCGGTGCGTGGCTCACTTCGACTCCTCCGATTCCATTCGATTCGATTCCGATGGCTTCCGATTCCGATGCGATTCGACTTGGCCTTCCGATGTGGGCTCCGATCTCTTGTTGGAGGCATACCAGTCTGCCGATTTCCGCCAAGTCGACTTTTTCGCTCCTCCAACTCCTCCTCCTCCTCCTCCTCCTCCTCCTCCTCCTCCTCCTCCTCCTCCTCGCTCCTCCTCCTCCTCCTTCTCCTCCTCCTCCTCCTCCTTCTCCTCCTCCTCCTCCTCCTCCTCCTCCTCGGACTCGGCTGCCGATTTCCGCCGATCCGATTCATCTCGATTGCCGCTCCGACTTGTCGGTTCGATCCTCGGCTCTCCGCACCGGTGCCCGCAGCAGCTGGCCTCGCTCGCGGCGCGGGCCGCCATCCCGCTCCGTCCCGTCGGGCAGGACCCCCGGGGGCTCCAGGGAGCAGCGGGCCGAACGAAAGCTCATCCTCCTCCATCGTTCCCCCTGCCACCATAATCCCACCAAACCCCCACCAGCCCTTCTGACGGAAGTGGCTCATCCAGTGGTTTCTTCCCTCGCCCGGCACAGCCCCATCTTCTTCTTCTATCCGTGGGACGGGTTTACCCCCCCTCCTCCTCCTCCGCCTGAAGGATGCCAGGGCCGAGGGGCCGCATCTGGGGCACCCAGTTTGGCTTCAAATCGCGCCGCGGAACCACAGACGCTACTCCAGATTTCGTAATAAAGGGAGGGGGGTCTCATTTCGGGGGGGGGTCTCGTCCAGGCTATCTTGGAGGGCCTGGGGGGTCTGGGGACGATGTCTTGGAGGGTTCTCTCACGGGGGGGGAGTCTGAAATGGCTTGTCTTGGAGGGTCCAGACCCCCTCCCTTTTATTACGAAATCTGGAGTAGGGAAAGGGGCGGATGTTACGGAATCTGCTGCACGCAGGCTGGTTACGGCCCCGCCGCCGGGCCCATTCCTCGATATACGTGGCCGCCCTCCGGCGCCGGGAGGCGCCGGGGAAGTCAGCTATACGTGAGCTGATCCTCAAACTTCCCTCCTTTGCTATCCCCCCCTGTTGCCCGGCCCGAGAACAGCGAGGCCCGCGAAGGCCACGGCTCGGGCGGCCCCGAGCCCAGACCAGGTCGGCAGGGTGTGTGCGGCTGGTCTCGGGAGGGTCCCGCGAGATCCTCTCGAGTCTGGGTTTCTGGGAGGTCAGGGGGCAAAGCTCTAGGCCTCCTAGAGGGGCTCAGAGGAGATGGGGTCGGAGGATCGCGCCGCATCGCCGATGCATCGCCGATGCGGCTCGATGCGGAGCCCGACTTTCTCCACACCGACGTCGTCGACGCATCGCCGATGTCGCCGATGCATCTCCGATGCATCGGCGATGTATCGCCGATGTATCGGTGATTCGGCACGATCCTCCGACCCCATCTACTCCGACCCCATGTAGGAGGCCTCTAAAAGCTGCCATGACCCCCGTCGTCGGTCAGGCGGTTCCGCTCCCCCCCTGGTGCGTTCCTCCTGCTCGACTCCACATCACTGTCGTTTGTCCCATTTCTCGAGGTCACCGGCAACGCGGCGAAATACCTGCCCAAGCTGGTCCAGAAGGAGGGCCACAGTGGGTGTGGAGAGGCAGGACTCGACGCGGTCAATCAGACGAGGAAAAGGCACCGATACCGCTGCCTGCTCTCGTCTTCACCCTCTTGGGGGCCTCCTGGGCGGCCCTCGTCGCAACGGCTGGATTCGCTTCTGCATTCTGGCCAGAACGCACCCTGGGAGAGATCCAGTGAGCAGCGGCATCGGTAGCTTTGAGTTTCCTAGTCGACGCGCAGTTCTCTCTTGGGTCGTTGTTCCTCCCATGTCCTCCCTCTCCAAGCCGAGCACTCAGAGGAGCAAGGCGTCATGATGAATGGCACGCTGCAGGATCTCCACGACCCCCCACGTTTCCAGGACTCCCCTCGCCCAGCTCGCCTCGCATCGTCCTCGCACCCAGGGCGCAGTCCTCGTCCTCGTCTCGCCCTTGCCCTCGCCCTCATCCTCGTCTCGTTCTCGTCCTCGTCTTGGCGGTTCGAGGGGCAAAGGGGGGGCCGTCGCGCACGGCACCTCGTGTCACCAGGCTTGGGATAGCCGTGGTGAGGATGATGAGGGTGATGAGGAGGATGGTGACGAGGGGGTGGAGGAGGAGGAGGAGGAGGAGGAGGAAGAGGAAGATGAAGGCCGGCACGTGTGACGCTTGTTCTTCTTCAGTTTTTGTCATGGGGATCACTTGGGTAGTCGTGGGGCTGTCTTGGGCTCCTGTGGGGTAGTCGTGGGGGTCCCTTGGGGCCCTATTTGGACGTCTTGGGGTTCTGTCTGGTTTTCTTGGGACCCTCTTGGCCGCATGTGCGGTGTCTTGGGGCTGTCGTGGGGCTGTCATGGCAATGTCCTGGGCCGTTGAAGGCGCCTGGCGTCTTCCCGAATACCCTCTTGGGCCGTCGTGGATGCCTCTTGGGCCATCATAGGGATCCTCGTTGGCCGTCTTGTGGCCCTCTTGGGACCCTCTTGGGCTTTCTTGTGCGGACGCAGCCCCGAAAGAACGAGAACACAACGATCTTTTCAAAATCTATGGCGCCGGTGTGCTCCAGCTGCAAGTACTTGGGCTTCCAGATGGGCCACGGCAAGGGCGATTCTGCGTGGCGCAAGCCGTGGCAGAAGTATCTGGGCCGGTTGGAAATGTGGCAGGACCGACCTCCTGGGGCCCATTGGAACGCGAGGGTCTGCAACACGTTCGCCCGGGCGACACTGGTGTGCATGGGCCAGCTCGAGACGTCCCCCTGCCTGGCTTGTCGCTTCGGCCAGCCAGTCCCTGCGACGAGTAGCCAAGGCCCCAGCGAACGGGCGGCCGTGGAGGACCTCTGTGGCATTGCGTGATTACTGCAGACTTGCAGCATCCTTCACCAACATCGAGTGGCATGCCCTGGCGACCAGGACTCGGGTGGTGCACTTTGATGGTGCCTGTGCCCCCTCGGGGCGAACCTTCGCCGACGCCGAACAGCTGCAGGGGGCCCGTCGTGACCCCCCGCGCGAGCACCCCCGCTTCGCGCATGGAGCGATTGGTACAGCGGCAGATTCGTCTTGACCCTGACCCAGGCCGAGAGCCAGCTCCTGCAGCACCGCGCCACCGCGAAAGTGTTGCAGCGATCGCGCCCAGCAGGCGACCGATGTGAGCAGCGCGACGGAGCCCAGCAACACCACGAGCCACGCGACGGAATTTAGTTCCTTCGTGTGCACTGTGGCGGACTTTCGTAGCGCCGCCGTGAGCAAGACAGACTCTAGCAACACCACCGTGAACAACACTCACTCCCGCGTCACCACCGTGTGCCGCAGGACGACCTCCAACAGCACCACTGGGGGCATCGAGACGGAGTCCAGCAGCACCACCGTGAGCAGCACGACGGATTCGTACAGCACCATCGTCAGCAGCACGGCGGGCTCCATCGACATCATCGTCCAAGGGAGCCAACGTGAGCAGCGCAGACCCCGGCAATACCACCGCGCGATGCAGGACAGACTCCAAAATCACTGGGGCACCACGGGGGCAGCACGGCAACACCAGCGTGAGCAACACGATGTACCTCGGCCCGGCAGCTATACCGCGAGACGCAGGACGGACTCCAGTATGATACCGGAGAAAAACCCAATCAGGGCTATAGGGCGAAGGGGCTATAGGCTATTGAGCTATAGGGCTATAGAGCTATAGGGCTATAGAGTTGTAGGACTACAGGGCTATTCGGCTATAGTGCTATAGAGGGCTTAGGGCGATAGGGCTATAGCACCCCCGGGCACCCCCGGGCACGCCCGGGCACGTCTGGGCATGCACGCCCGGGCACCCGGGCACCCCGGCACCTGGGCACCCGGGCACCCCCGGGCACCCCCCGGGCACCCGGGCACCCCCGGGCACCCGGGCACCCGGGCGTGCAGCGAAAATCGGCGACAAACCTAAGCTAACCATATGAATCCGCTAGGACCCCTACAGAGGCAAGGTCTGATTGGGGAATAACCATCGTGAGCAGCACGAGTGGCTCCAGAAGCACCTCGGTGAGTAGGACTGACTCCAGCAGCACCACCGTAAGCAGTAGGACGGACTCCAGGAGCACCGCCAGGGGCAACACGATGGCCACCAGCAGCACCAGCGACGGGCCTCAGCTTTACCTCTGGGAGCAGCTCGACGGACCAGCAGTACCACCGTGAGCAGCACGTCGGCCTCCAGCAGCACCACCGTGAGCAACATGGAATCTAGCTCACCAGGCAGGAGCACCGGGGCGGACTCCAGCAGCACCACGGGAGCAGCACGACGGACTCCGGCAGAGCCGTCGTTGGCAGCACCACAGAGCCCAGCACCGCCATCGCGAGCGACGCGGTAGGCTCCGGCACCATCAAACGCGGCACGACGGGCTGCAGCAGCTACATCGTGAACAGCCTGACCAAGGGCTCCCCCGAGGGCGCGAAGTTATTCGCGCTTCGCGCTTCGCGGTCCTCGTTCCTTCTCCCCCTCCTCCTCGTCCTCCTATTCTCCCTTTGGGGGGGCGGCGCGAGAGCGCGAAGTTATTCGCACTTCGCGCTTCGCGCAGCGCGAAGCGCGAAGTTGGGAGCCCTTGCTACATCGTGAACAGCCTGACAGACTCCGGCAGCACAGTCGCGGGCGGCACCGGCTCCAGCAGCACCTCCAAGATCCAAGAGCAGCGCGGATTCCAGCATCACCAGCGTGAGCAGCAGGATGGACCGCAGCAGCACCACCTGGGGCAGCGCGACGGACTCCAGCAGCACATGCGTGAGCAGCGCGAGGTTTCGTGCCAAGCAACGCAGCGGGTTCCAGCACCATCGTGGCCAACACGACGGACTCCAGCGTCGCCATCATGGGCAGTGCGACGGATTCGAGCAGCACGGACTCCCGCAGCACGGCAGTGAGCGGCGCGGATTCCAGCAGCACCGATTGGAGCAACACGACGTCGGCGCGAACTGCCCGTCACACCAGCCGGGGCGAGCCGCCCGTCACACTCGTTGGCGCGTGCCGCCCGCCACACTGACGCTCGCGAGCCGCCCGCCACACTGGCGGGCGCGTGCCTCCCTCCGCACTGGCTGGCGCGAGCTGCCCGTCACCCCCACACTGGCGCGAGCCGCCTGTCACTCCAGCCGGCGCGGGCCGCCCGTCACACGAGCTGGCGCGAGCCCCCCGTGACGCCAGCCGACGCGAGCGACGTCGGCAGCGGCGGCGGCCCGAGGAGGTGGCACCGGCCGTCGCCTCTGGCAGCGACAGGAGCACCACCGGGAACCACACGACGGACTTCGGCATCACTTGACTGAGCTGCCGTGATGGTGATTGTGATGGTCTATGGCCAGCGACCGCAGCATCACCGTGATGGGGTTCATGATGTGACTGACCCTGAGCAGGGTCACGTTTCGGAATTATTGTGGTCAATGCGGTTCCCCTCGGCAGGGCCTTGTCGACGACTAGTGGTGCTCTGTTCGCGAAGCCGGAAGTTGCGTGATGGTGACCTTTATGCGATTGCCCCTTAGCAGGGCCTCATTCCGGAATGGTTGTGATCATTCTTACTGCCCCTGAGCAGGGCCTTGTTCTGGATTGGCGCTCAGCTCATTCTCCCGTGGGCAGGGCCTTGCTTTTGGCACGTTTGTGATCAGTTTTACTACCCCTGTGCAGAGTTTGCGGACCTGCCCCTGTGCAGAGTTTTACTGCCCCCATGTGTCGGTGGGATCGGCAGTGTTCAATGTGCGGACCTGGCGGCGGCGAGAGGGTGAGCTGTATGTTGCTGCCCCCGGGCATGCCCTTGGTCTGGAATGGCTGGGATCGCCCTCGTTGCCCATGAGCAGGGCTTTGTTCTTCAGAGGGTAAATAACCTCCCCCGCTTTCGCTTCCAGACAAAACCAAGTCATACCACGTGCCCCCTAGTCAAGCAGCCTGCGCTTCACAACGCCATTATCGGTCGTGTCCTCGCTCCGCTCCCCTCTGCCCCACCTCAGATTGTCAGCCCCGGGGCAGGACCTTGTGCTGAAATGGTGTTGCGATGACTGGCCGATGGCTGTGATTCTATGCGGAGCGTGTTTTTCCTGGAGCCACCACGCTGCCCGCTCACGCCTCCTGGCCCGCCTGGCGGCGAACGTCTGGATCGCCACATGGCGCAGTAATCAGCACAGTTTTGCCCCAGGACGCTCGGTTTTTGCTCGCCGCCGCACCTCCTTCTCCCGCCTCGCCTCGCCTCTTCTCCCCCTCAGTGCGTGCTCGTGTCGTGTCGCGCAGCGCGGGGGGTTATGCGCAGTTGCATTCCCGCGGTTGCCGCGCGCCTCTGTCCTGCAAGAGTGGCCGAAGCTGCAGGCCTGCGTTGACAAGTAGGGCTACGAATGTGGACACATGCGCTTGCGCCGAGACTGTGTAATCTGACCCCAGGGCGGAACAGCCGGCAGTTCGGCTCGCGGCCTGCACTGGCGCTTCCTCCTCCCCTCCTCTGTCGTGTCTTCCCTCCCTCTCCTCCTTCACGGAGTCGCGCTCCGTATTTGCCGATGTTAGGCTTCGCTGCTTGGGCAGCGGCGCGCGCTACGTTTGGCCGAGATGT